CTGGGGAGGGGGGAAGAAAGCGAGATAGAAAGATAGACCCTCCCCCTAAGCCCCCCTCCCCAAACACCCTGTAACCCGACTCCCCTCGCCCCAGTCCCCGGGGTGGGGGTGGGGGGAAAGAGAAGCAAAACCAAGAAAGCAGATCTCCTCTCTCCCGGGGTGACGGGGGGCGGGGGGCTGCGGGATCTCTGCCCCCACCCCACCGCCTCGGACCCGGGGGTCTCTAGACCCCGCCGTTCAGACGTCCCCCTTAGGCTCCCGCACCGAGCCCCAGTCCAGGAGCTGCGCTCAGTGGCCCCCAATAGAGCCCAGCCCCTTCCAGCGCTCAAACTCTTTTGTTTTAAATGAACTGGATGGAGCAGCATGGAACTGACGGGAGGGGGGCGCGCCGGGGGCGCCCGGGGCATGCCGGGAGTTGTAGTTCCTATCTTCTGGGGCGCGGGGACGAATTCCTTGACCCGAGGAGGATAATAGGGATGTGCTTTCGGTCTTTACCTAAGGCTCGGAGGCAAAACTGGGTCTGAGATGGAAGTCAAGCTCCCAAATTTTTCCAGGGGCGGGCTTGTCGAGAACAGTGTTCAGAAACAAAACGAGTTGGAAAAGGCTAATGGAGCGCCTCCTCCCAACCTCCTCCCCACTAGCTCCCTACACATCCCGACGGGTCTAGGGTCCCTCTTCTTTATGGTAATGGAGGAGGGGGAGACGCGAGGGCCGACAGCGCTCCGGCCGGGTCACTGCGGCTAGCTCGCGCTTTTCTCTCTTTCCCCACCCCCCCCCCCCCGCCCCACTCCCCTCTCCGCTTCCCTCTCTCCTTCTCTCTCCTCTTCCCCCTCCCTGCCGCGCTCCCGCTCGGTTCCCCGCCTCCCACTCTCCCGGCGTCGATCGCTGCTCGGGGCAGAGGGGAGAGGTTCTCTGCAGAGCAGACAAAGCCCGCAGCCGCGATGCGGGGAGAATCCGGCTCTGCGTGCACTGGGGGTCAGGATGGGGTGCCGGGCTGGAGGGTGAGACCCCTGGCAGAAAACGGGGTCCCCTCATCCCCGAGCCTCAATCCACCCCCCCTCCTCCCCTCCTGCCCTTCACCCCCAGTCTTGAGGATCTCTGAGGCACCGACTGGGAGGTGAGTTAGTTCACGTCCTACTGGCCAGTGGAGGGGAGCTGGGAGGGCTCTGGAGTGATAAGCGAAGACGGGGGACTGAGAGTGGGGAGGCAGGGGCAAACTTAAAGGCAAAATTTGTAACCGCTGAGAAGCTTGAGGTTTGGGTGCGACAGAAGGAGGGGACGTGGAATCTAGTGGGGGTGGGGGGAGACCGCCTTCTGGCCCGGACGTGCACCTCGCTCTGGGGTGATTTGTGCTCTAGCGTCCACCATCATTCCACATTGTTTGTCATCCACCTCTCTGCCATTGAAAACTCAGTCCGTTCAACGCCTGTGATTCTGGAGATTTGGTGAAAGTCAAAGTTAAGTTTTTAAGGCTTGAATTAGACAGTTGGTTTTTTTTTTTTTTTGAGGGAATTTGGGAGAGCTGGGGTGTGTAAAATCTTCTCGCCTTAACTTAAGCATTTTTTTGGGGGGGGGGTCATCTTTTTTATGCCTGGGTCTCTCCCAAGAGGAGAAAGGATGGCACTGGGGCTTTAAGGGTTGAGGTCAGATATTAAGAAGATATTTTCAGAAGTTTTGTAAGAACAGGTAGGTGAGCTACAGCAGGAAGATGTCCTTTTCTTGCTTGTGGTGGAAACCAAAACTCTGAACTAGTTTGTGAGGTGAAGTCTGCCTGGAGACAGCAGAACAGATGAGATGACCTCATAGACCTGGCACTGTGTGGTGGTGAAGGCTGAGCTGTGAAGCCCAGTTGCCCATATTGATTCCTGGAAAGAAAGGAACCTGGAGAGAGGAGGGCTGGCAACAGGGTGCTGGCTCCTTTGCTAGGCAGAGATCCAGGAGAGGGAAGCTGGGACTCAGGAACCCTGGAAGGACCTGGAGTTGGGAAAGGTGCCCCCTGGAGCATATGATTGAACATACGATTAACAAGCATTGTGGGATTGGGCGCTGCCCCCACCAAACAAGAGTAGGAGAATTGGAGGGTCAAGGTGCCGTGGGAGTGGGCAGTTTCTGACTCTTGTCCCTTCTCTATCTGCCCCAGATGGGGGCCTGTGGTACTGGCGACCATGGAGCCATGTCATTGGGGAAAAGCTCCTACTCTGCCCAGGTGACCATCTTTCACAGAGCTAGTAAATAGTTGCATGGGACTTATTGTGTGCCAGGCATTTTTGTCACCAGCTGGTCTGAGCCTTCCTGTCCCCACCGAAATGAGATTCCCCCCAGACAGCCAACCCTGAACTTGCCCTGCTTCCATTTTCCTCCCTACAAAGCTAATTAAAGCAGGAGGTTAATGACCAAATAATCCCTGGGGATTTGGCCTGGGAGGAAAACAAAAGACTGAAACAAGTGTAGGAGCGGGGAGGGGGACAGCTGCTGAATAGGAAGTGTAGGCTAAGGAGTGGGGTGGGAGAAGGGGGGGTCCCTTTATCCACCTCCCTGATCCAAGGAGGACAGATCAGCCCCCGACCCCCATCCCAGTGCCAGGCACCCTCCTTGGATCCCAGTGTGACTCCGGGCAGATGTCCGAGACAGGGGAGGTAAAGTGCCCGCACACCCCTGGCACAGGACTTGTGTCTAAGTGCAGGAAGGCCTGCAGCACAGTGGACACCCAGAGTGTGTGCCTGCACATTACAGGGGTGTGTGTAGGTGTGCACCTACAGTGGTGATCACCAGACTGCCTGGGTGGTCCAGGTCCCTGAGGATGGCAACTTGATGAGTCCTGGTGGCCTTCTTTGTTAGGGGTCCCCCCAACTGACACTTCTGTTGGCTGAGCTAGTGCCTCTGCGTGGGCACTCCCTGTCCTCGCTCCCTGTCTGCCCAGTCTGTAACGATGATGACAAGAGTCCCCCCACCATGTCCCATTCTCTGCTTTCCAGAAAGGCATGTTGGTGGCATAGCTCTCCTTCGAAGGACTTGATGTCTGTGTCTCTCCTTGCCATTGCCTCTTGCTCTGGCACCATGTGGTTAGCATGTGGCCTTCCTAGAGCGGCTCAGTAGGCCGTACAGGTTAGGTGTAACTGATATTTTAAGCCTCATGGTGAAAAGGAAGGAGCAGACCTGGAGCCAAATATGCTTTTTGTTAGTTCTGTCCCTGGGGCAGGCATTCACTGAGGAACCTTGATTTCTTCACTCTGAAGTGGAAATGAAAAGCCAAGTTCCTAGCTGGGCCTGGCCACCTTAGTTGTGCAAAAAAGTGGTTCATTTCCTGGCCCTTGTCCTTCCCTTGCAGTTGACTTTACCCAGATTGTGGTCTTATTTTAATTCATTTATTCAGCTAACCACTTCCTATTGCCTTCTTAGGATGTGCCAGGACTGGAGGAGATCTGAATCACTGGACATCCCTTGAATTCTATTCTAGATCTAGACTGGAAGAAAAAAAAATCATCCCAAACAAACCTCAGATAATTCCCAAAACAATTCCTGTTGAGCAGTGGCACACATGCCATCTCACACATGCACACCGAGGCCAGACTGCAGGGCCCCACAGAGTTGTTGAGCTGGCTGTATGCACAGTTCTTTATGTGCAAATGTCCACTCGCTAAGTGTGTGTGTGTGCACGCACGCGCGTGTGCACGCTTCTATTTCCACAAGCCTGGCATAGGCTTGTGTGGAGGCTGGATAACAGGAAGGGTGGGGGACCAGCCTCTGCTCGCCTGGTGGAACTCTGTGCCTTTGCTCCTTGAAGCACATTGGCCCTGTTATCACGGCTACACAGCAAGTACCAAAAGATGGAGGCCTAACCTAACACCTGCCCCTCCTGGCCCACAGAGTGCCAGGGAGAAGAGGAGACCCCGGGCATGGGTTTGTTTGGCTGTCCTTGGAGACGGACTTATCTTGTCATCTCGCTGCTTGATCAGGGCGTCCCAGTCTGCTGTGCTGCCTCTGCTCTGCTTTATGGGGTTTCCACTGTCTTAAGGCCCTACTTTATAGGAAGTCCACCCTGCTATCTAACCACCGTCCTTCCTGGTGAAAGTACAGTATTCTGTTTCTCAAACACACTCAACTTTTTACTTTCAGTCAATGACAATATATTGCCTGAAAGTCCAAGACGCACACACAAAATATCAGACTTGATTTCCACGATCAGCAAGATACAGAAACTGTATCTTGACCCAGAGAATGTGGCCAAAGAAGATTAAACATGAAGGCAAAATAGTCTTTGGGACTTGGAGAGTTACAGGGATTGGAGAAAGGAGAAATTCACTACGGAGCCCTAAGTCGCCAGGGGCTTTGATTAAAAAGCCAGCCTGAGGTTTGGACCTGGACAGACTAATACCTCTGTTCCCCCCTGCGACCACTCCAGCACTCCAGGTTCCTGGCACTGTGTGATTTCCCCAGGGAGAGAGCTCAGTGGGGCTGGGGTGGAGCCAGGGCCCCCCCGGACAGCTGGCTGACAGAGCCCCTCTGGGACTCAGGTCTGGACCTAGGCGTCCTAGAGCAGGTGATACCGGAGCTGTGACAGTTGGTCCCCAGATTCCTCATCCAATGGCGCCAGCTCTGGTTT